TATGCAGAAATAGAAGTACAATGATGTACACCTGAAATTTTTACAATGTTATAAACCAATGTTACTGCAATAAACAAAAAATTAAAAAATAAATAAATAAATCATACAGACAAGAAAAAAACTTTGGCTCCCTAAGCCAATAAACACATATTTATATTAAATTTACATTATTTGTTCTCAAAAAAAAAAAAAAGAAAGATTACAAAAGATAGCACAGAAATGCAAAGGATCATAAGAGAATATTACTAACAATATCGGGGCAAAAAAATAGGATAAGAAGGAAGAAATGGATAAATTCCTAGAAGCGTACAGCCCAGCAAGACAGAATCATAAAGAAATAGAAAATCTGAATAAACCAATAACTAGTAAGCAGATTAAATTAGTAATCAAAATCTCCCAACAACATAAAGCTCAGGGCCAGATGACTTCAGAACGGAAAGACCTTCACTAGTCAGTCTATCTAGAGATTCTGGGTGTCTGTCAGACCTTTGCTACAGATGCACACACTCCCCTCCTCCTTTCTCTCTTGGAAGGGAAGTTTTAGGATTTTATGCTTTCTCTTGATCCCAGAAAGAAAGGCTGGTTGTTGAGAGCCTCCTATTTATTTTCTCTGGGACAATGCTCTGAAGTCTTGAAGGTGATGCACCTTCTCCCAATCCAACGAAGTTGTGCCGCTTAAAAAATTGTTCTAGAAAAACACAAAGAACTAAAGGAAATTAGAAAAACAATGTATGAACAAGAATATCAACAAAGAGAAAAAATATTGAAAGGCAGCAAACAAAATTTCTGGAGCTAAAAAGTACAATAACTAAAACGAAAAATTTACTAGAGATTTTGTGATGGTTAATTTTATGTATAAACTTGACTGGATCATGGGGTTCCCAGATTTTTGGCTAAATATTATTTCTGGGGCTGTTTGAGAGAGTGTTTCTGAATGAGATTCACATTTGATACAGTAAACTTAGGAAAGCAGTTTGCCCTCCACAAACAAGGTGGATGAGCATCATCCAATCTACTGAGGGCCTGAATAAAAGGAAAAAGCAGAAGAAGAATAAATTTGTTCTCTCTGTTTGATTGCATGAGCTGGGATATAGGTCTTCTCCTCCAATTAGACTGAGACTTAGGTCATCAGCTTCCCTGATTCTTCAGTCTCATGCTGAACTACACTACAGCATTCATGGATTTCCAGCTTGCAGATGGCAGGTCATGGAAATTCTCAGCCTCCATAATCACATAAGACAGTTCCTCATGATAAATATCTTCATATTTTTTATTTATTTAATTTATATGTTTTTATTTACATCTACATATACACACACACATTCTGTTTTTCTGGAGAACCCTGGCTAATACAGAATTTTAAGGATGAGTTTTTGAATTGCTTCCAGGGTTTCTGGAATTGACCCTCTAATATGATTTGGTTTAAGAAGGTAATAACTCTATATTCAGTAGTAAAGAGAGCACTGATAGTCCACGATGTGATCTGGCAACAGAGATACTCAAAATATGTGCATTGGATACTCCTAATCAACCATGTATAAAAAGAAAGGAACTGGATGATGTACATTATACTTTCAAATATATTTGGAAAACTAACAAATATAATGAGGTTGGCTTGTTGCTCTTAATATCGATGGACAAAGAGTTGCAAGAAAAAGATGAGCACAGAGATTTGTAACCCCATCTCAAGCACTGCATAAATGACTTAATGGCTTCTTTGTGTACCCTGAAAAAGATTCAAATATCTTGTAGCAGCAAGGCCAAGTTTGCTAAAAACCAAACACAGAAACTCATGCTGCAACTGGCTGAATCACCATGCAACTTGAACTCGCATCCTCTCAGGGTGTTTATTGCAAAAGTGGGGGCATTGGTTGGGAAAGAATGCAATCCTGTAAGTTGATGTGAGGTCATGTGAGAAGACCCTGATGAGGCTGGAGATATTGAGCCCATAAATTCTGATTAGTCTTCTTTGCCAGTGGAAGAAGCCTCCCTAGACCCGGCAGAAGCAGCCACCCAACTCCAGTGAGAGTGGCCTCCATATTTGCATTGATATTGGTCCCTTGACCCCAGTCTGAGAGTACTAAACCTACATTGCCTGAGGAAAATTTAATTACCTCGCTTAAGGCAGTTGCCATGCAAGACAATGCTGATTCACTTCAGTACCCCTCCTACCATCCCTCTTTCCTTCTAGTCCTTTAATTAGACTCACGTACCAGCAAGCCCCTAAAGGTGAGGTACAAAATTTGACCCATGAGGAGGTGCGCTACATTCCAAAAGAACTACTTGAGTTTTCTAATTTATACTGACAGTAATCTGGGGAACATGTGTGGGAATGGATCCCAAGGGTGGAGGATAATGGTGGAATGGACATAAAGTTGTACAAGGCCAAATTTATTGATACGTGCTCTCTAAGGAGATTCTGCTTTTAATGTTACAGCTTGGGGAGATAGAAAGGGATCTAAGAGTTTGTTTGTCTGGCTGAAACATGCACCAAGGAAACTCACAGTGAGAGAACTGGAAATACCAGACATATTAAGAGCATTGGAAATATGGGACCTACCTTGGTACAATGTAGAGGAATGAATTCAAAGGCTTAGAGAGATTGGAATGTTAGAGTGGATTTGTTTTTTAAGACTAACTCATCCACACTGGGAGGGTCCATAAGGCATATCCTTTATCAATACTGTCAGAAATATATTTGTAAAAGGAGCCTCAACATCCTTGAAGAGCTCTGTGATCACTCTTTCTGTAGGCCACACTTCACAATAGGAACTTCAGTGACTGAATTGGGAAACCTAAATGCAATGGGAGTAATTGGATCCTCAGGTGGCAAGGGCCAAGTGGTGGCACTCAACTTCCAAAGGCAAGGTGGGCATGCTTTCAGAAATGGACAGTAGAGTCAAAGCAGCAATCAGAATGGCAGGATGATCATGAAATAGATAGACAGTAATAAAATAGGAAGCCTACTAAATTCTTACTTGATCTGAGTAAACAGAAGAAGAATAAACATAATTAAAATGTCCATACTACCTAAAGCAATCTACAGATTCAATGCGATCCCAATCAGAATCCCATTGACATTCTTCACAGACATAGAACAAAGAATCCTAAAATTTATACTGAACAAAAAAGACCTTGAATAGCCAAAGCAATCTTGAGAAAAAAGAACAAAGCTGGAAGCAGCACAATCTCTGACTTCAAAAAATACTGCAAAGGTATAGTAATCAAAACAGCATGGTACTGGCACAAAAACAGACACACAGATCAATGGAACAGAATTAAAGGCCCAGAAATAAAGCCACGCATCTATGGACAGTTAATCTTTGACAGAGCATCCAAGAACATACAATGGAGAAAGGAAAATCTCTTCAATAAATGGTGTTGGGAAAACTGGACAGCCACTTGCAAAAGAATGAAAGTAGACCATTGTCTTGCACCATACACAAAAATTAACTCAAAGTGGATAAAGACTTTAATGTAATACCTGAAACCATAAAACTCCTAGAAGAAAATATAGGCGGTATAATCTTTTGACATCAGTCTTAGCAGCTTATTTTCAAATACCACGTCTACTCAGGCATGGGAAACAAAAGAAAAAATTAACAAATGGTAATACATCAGACTAAAAAGCTTCTGTAAGACAAAGGAAACCGTGAACAAAATGAAAAGACACCCCACTAACTGGGAGAAAATATTTGCAAATCATGTATCTGACAAGGGGTTAATTTCCAAAATATATAAAGAACTCATGCAACTCAACATCAAAAGAACAAATGACTCAATCAAAAAATGGGCAGAGGATACGAACAGACTGTTTTCCAAAGAAGAAATACTGATGATCAACAGACACACGAAAAGATATTCAACATCACTAATTATTAGGGAAATGTAAATCAAAACTACAATGAGATATAACCTTACACTTGTCAGGATAAATAACAATAATAAATAACAAGACAAAAAGATAACAAATATTCATAAAACCTCCAAAAACTGAACCAAGAAGAAATAGAGAATCTGATTAGACCAAGCACAAGTAAAAAGATTGAAACAGTAATGAAAAACCTCCCCAAAAATGAAAGTCCAGGACCAGATGGCTTCTCTGGAGAATTCTACCAAACATTCAAAGAAGATTTAGTACCTATCCTCCTCAAACTATTCCGAAAAATTGAAGAAGACAGAACACTTTCTAACACGTTTTATGAGGCCAACATCACCCTGATCCCAAAGCCAGACAAAGACAACTCAAAGAAGGAAAACTACAGGCCAATATCACGATGAACATAGATGCAAAAATCCTCAACAAAATATTGGCAAATCGAATAGAGCAATACATCAAAAGGATAATACACCACGATTAAGTGAGATTAATACTAGGGGCATAGGGATGGTTCGACATCCACAAATCAAGCAATGTGATACCCCACATTAACAAAATGAGGAATAAAAACCACATGATCATCTCAAGAGATGCTGAAAAAGAATTTGACAAGATCCAACATTCATTTACAACAAAACCTCTCCATAACATGGGTATAGAAGGAAAGTACCTCAACGTAATAAAGGCCATATATGTCAAACTCACAGCAAACGTCATACTCAACAAAGAAAAACTGAAAGCCATCCCTCTTCATTCAGGAACAAGACAAAGAAGCTCACTCTCACTACTCTTATTCAACATAGTACTGGAGGTTTTGGCCAGAGCAATTACTCAAGAAAAATAAATGAAATGTATCCAAATAGGCAAGGAGGAAGTGAAAGTCTCCCTGTTTGCAGATGATATGATTTTATACATAGACAACCCTAAAGAATCCATCAGAAAACTATTAGAAATAATCAACAGTTGCAGCAAAGTTGCAGGGTACAAAATCAACTTACAAAAATCAGTTGCATTTCTATACTCGAATAACGACTAACAGAAAGAAAAATCAAGAATACAATCCCAGTTACAATCACAACAAAAAGAATAAAATATGTAGGAATAAGTTATCCAAGGAGGTGAAATACATATACAATGAAAAGTATAAGACATTATTGAAAGAAATCAGTGATGACATAAAGTAATGGAAAGACATTCCGTGAACATGGATTGGAAGAATAAACATAATTAAAATGTGCATATTACCTAAAGCAATCTACAGATTCAATGCAATCTCAAACAGAATCCCAATGATGTTTTTCACAGACATAGAACAAAGAATCCTAAAATTCGTATGGGGCAACAAAAGACTCAGAAGAGCTAAAGCAATCCTGAGAAAAAGAACAAAGCTGGAGGTATCACAATCCCTGACCTCAAAATATACTACAAAGTTATAGTAATCAAAACAGTATAGTACTGGTACAAAAACAGATACATAGATCAACGGGACAGAATCGAAAACCCAGAAACAAAACCACACATATATGGACAGCTAATCTTCAACAAAGTTGCTAAGAACATACAATGGAGAAAGGAAAGTCTCTTCAACAAATGGTGCTGGGGAAACTGGACAGCCTCATGCAAAAGAATCAAGGTACGCCATTATCTTTCATCATACATAAAAATTAACTCAAAATGGATTAAAGATTTGAAGGTAAGATGTGAAACCATAAAACTCCTAGAAGAAAATATAGGCAGTAAACTCTTTGACATCGGTCTTAGAAGGATCTTTTCAAATGCTATATCTACTCAGGCAAGGGAAACAAAAGAAAAAATACACAAATGGGACTTCAACAGATTAAAGAGCTTCTGCAAGTCAAAGGAAACTATGAACAAAACGAAAAAACAACCCACCAACTGGGAGAAAATATTTTCAAATCATATATCTGACAAGGGGTTAATCTCCAAAATATATAAAGAACTCATACAATTCAACAACAAGAAAACAAACAACCTGATCAAAAAATGGGAAGAGGATATGAACAGACACTTCTCCAAAGAAAGATATATGGAAGACCAACAGGCACATGAAAAGATGTTGAACATCACTAATCATCAAGGAAATGCAAATCAAAACTACAATGAGATATCACCTTACACCTATTATAATGGCTATAATTACCAGGACAAAAACCAACAAATGTTGGAGAGGATGTGGAGCAAAAGGAACCCTCATACACTGTTGATGGGAATGCAAACTTGTACAGTAACTATGGAAAACAGTATGGAGATTTCTTAAAAAACTAAAAGTTGAAATACCATATGACCCAGCTATATCACTACTGTGTATTTATCCAAAGAACTTGAAATCAACAATCCAAAGAGATTTATGCACCCGTAGGTTCATTGCAGCATTATTCACAATAGCCAAGATGTGGAAGCAACCCAAGTTCCCATCAACTGATGAATAGATAAAGAAGATGTGGTATATATATACAATGGAATACTACTCAGTCATTAAAAAAGACAAAATTGTCCCATTTGCAACAACATGGATGGAACTTGAGGGTATTATGTTAAGTGAGATAAGCCAGACAAAGACAAACCCTGTATTATTTCACTCATATGTGGAAGATAAACAAATATATGCACAAAGAAAACAGATTAGTGGTTACCAGAGGTGAAGGGGGTTGGGGAATGGGCATAAAGAGTAAAAGGGCACATATATAGGGTGATTGACAAATAATAATGTACAACTGAAATTTCACAATGTTATAAACTGTTATGACACCAATAAAATAAATAAATAAATAAATTTAAAAAATAGCAAAGGTTGGAGAGGATGTGGAGAACCTCATACACTGCTGGAGGGAATGCAAACTAGTGCAGCCACTATGGAAAACAGTATGGAGATTTCTCAAAAAATTAAAAATAGAAATACTGTATGATCCAGCTATCCCACTGCTGGGTATTTGTCCCAAGAACTTGAAATGAACAATCCAAAGAGATTTATGCACCCCTGTATTCATTGC